ATTGCCTGTTCTGTTCAATAACATATCCCAAACACCTGCAGAAGTTTCTAGAACATACTTGGGGCTCAATCAATAATTGGAGAGTGAAGGAATACATAAAATCTGACAACTTCTCACCACCCCAAATTGCTATCATCCTAGTCTGAGTTATCATCTTTACTTGCCAGGACTACTCCAATTGCTTGCCAAATACCATTATTTCCTGCTACTCTGGCCATTTTCTACAGAGCAATCAGGGCTCATAAATGTCACTGTGTTTAAAACACAGAGCACATAATGTCACTCCTCTGCCCCAAACCCTTCAGAGCATCTATCACTCAGAGTAAAAGTCATAATTAGCCCAGGTTACCTCTCTAACCTTGGCTTCTCTGTTCCTCTTAGTATTTTTCTCCTTGCTCATTGTCCTCTGTAGGTTTCCAGGTCATTCCCTAAACTCAGCAATCATGCTCCTGCCTCAGGGCCTTTATGTTTATTGTGATTTTGTCTTGAAATACTTCTTTTTTTTTTAGAGTCAGGGTCTTGCTCTGTCATCCAAGTTGGAGTGCAGTGGTGCAATCATAGCTCACTACAGCTTCCAAATCCTGGGCTCAAATGATCCTCCTGCCTCAGCCTCCCAAAGTGCTAAGATTACAGGCATGAGTCAACATGCCCGGCTACTTGTTTGTTAATGCTTACATGACCTGCTCCCCCATTCCTGCAGGACTGCTTCAGCAATATTTTGTTACAGAAGATGAATTTCCCATGGAAAATAATAACATCTTCTCAGCACTCACTATCTTTTTACTTATTTTTAAATAAAATTTAACACCCAAAATATATTTTACTTTCCCCTTACTAGATTTTAAATGCCATATGAACTGAAGTGTTTTTCACCATTAATTTCTCAGTTGCCTATAGAACATGGTGAGCATTTAACTAATATTTCTTGAATGAATAAATGAACAGTACAGTTATTATGAACTTAGACTTTGATGTCATAAGATTTCCTTTATAAAATTAATATTAAACATGGTAATATTGCATTCATTGTGATATTAAAACGTGTGAATGATATAGTATATTGTCTATAAATATTTAATAAATAGTAGTGATGTTGAAAAAGAAAAATGACATTATTAAGCATAGTTGGGTTTAGGAACATAGTTGAGAAAGTGCGTAAGTTATTATATGAACACTTAACTTTGAATTTTTAAGTGGTTTCTTTCCTTTGTGTTAATTAATCTTCAGTGGGTTGGTGTGGCTACCAGTCTGTAAAATCTTGGGATGGAGCAGAGCTTGTCTAGCAAGCTTAGCTTTAAAAACACAGGCAATTACACTGAGCAAAGGAGGAAGGCCCTGGAGTAGGTTCCTGCCCTGGGCATCAACATTTGCATTTCTGTGCAGGTTTACATGTTTGGGCATAACTTTGGTCCTCATTATTCATAAATTCCATATTTGTAAATTAACCTAAAGTTTATTTATAACTCGCAAAGCCCCCAAATTAACATTTGTGGTGCTTTCATGATGAATTGCATATTTGTTCTTGCACAGAGAGCAAAAAATATGAGTTGCCTAATGGGGTGTTCCCAGTTAAGGCCAAACAAGGCAATGTTCTACCTTTTCATTTCACTTCAGCAAGTAAGCGTCCCTTTTGCTATTTGCTGCCATTTACTTTACATTTTGTGCTTCTTGCTGACAATTTCACAGTTTAAAATGGACCCCAACTGTAGTGCTTTAGCATTTTAATGCTGGCTAGTGTTCCTAATTACAGGAAGGCTGCAATATGCCTCGCAGAGAAAATACATGTTTTAGAGAAGCTTCATTCAGGCATGAGTTGTAGTGCACTGGCCATGAGTTCAACGTTAATGAATCAACAAAATACATCAAACAGGTGTCTTTACACAGAAACACATAAAACAAGGTCATGTATTGATTGGTTGATGAAAATGCTGTGACCAGAAACTCACAGGAACCTAACCTTGTATCTCCCCTAGGAGCAAAAATTTAGTATTTGCTAATTCAGTGTTTCTAGTAACTTTATAGAACTTAGTTGCCACAAATAACAAGAATAAACTGACATTTGTTTTTATGAATATGTGGCTTGTGTTAACTTCTCTCTGGACAAGTTCAGTGTGCAAATGAGTGGACAGGTGTGAACATTAGACATGGTTGTAGAAAGCAGTTGCCCCATCCTGGGTCAAGTGAAATAAACAGGAGATGCTTCTAGCTCATGCTCAATGAACAAAAGCTTTTTAGGTTATTTCCACTAGAAATCCTACATTAGGAGGAAAAAGTGCTGAGCCGTCACTAGAAGTTTCCAATATACAAAAGTGTATGCTTTCAAAGATCTTCTCCATTAGGGAGTGCGTTTTGCATAAAAATTAAGAGCATAGACTCTGGAGACCAGTAACCTGGGCTCAGATATCGTCACCATCATTCCCTACCAATGACTTCAGCTAATAACTTAACCTCTCCAATCCTCACTTTTCTGAACTATAAACTGAAGACAATAATTGGATCTATCTTATAGTGCTATTGTGAGGCCTGAGTGAGGTTCGCAGGAATAATGATTAACATGGCACTTGTTCCACAGTAAGTGTTCAAAATTTGTTGACCATTATTATAACTATTTCTGGAATACTAATAATTGTTGTAAACTTGAATTTTGTTTTCTCTAAGAATGATAAAACTGACTGAAAGAAGTGGGGTAGGACTCAAGAAAACGTCCATACAGCCTCCCTTCTACTTCTCCTGCTCCAGCATTTCTTTCCAAAGCCCAAGAAACTCTTTTATGACATACCACATGAAAATCTTGGCCTAGACTTGGTATGGATGGCCTTTCCTTGACAAAGAAAAAAAAGCAGCACTAAAAGCTAGGAATGTGCCGGGCTCTGTGGCTCAGCCCGTAATCCCGTGCCTTTGGGAGGCTGAGGTGAGTGGATTGCCTGAGCCGGCGGGTTCGAGACCCGCCTGGGCAGCGAGATCTCATCTCTACAATAAATCCAAAAATATCAGCCGGGCGTGGTAGCGCATGCCTGTAATTCTGGCTACTCAGAAGGCTGAGGCGGAAGGATTGCCGGAGCCCAGCAAGTTGAGGCTGCAGTGGCCGGGAGCAGCCACTGCACCCCAGTCTGGGCGACAGAGTGAGACTCCAACTCAAAAAAAAAAAAACTAGGAATGGGGTGGAGAGAGGCAGGGGCAGCCCACTCTTCACCCACTGGTCCTGTGGGATTGGTGCTTGCTCTTAATTGCTCTTCACTATTCCCCTTCCCACATCTCAAGGGATCCTGGGACCACATTTAAAGTGACTGCCTGACTACCTCCTTAGGAAATATTTATCTCTGCTAATGAATCCAGACAACAAATTTTGATCTCCATTATAAGTTTAGTATGGCAGGGCTGGAGGACACTAAAGATTATCTAGATGGGGTGAGATGATTAATTTTGTGTGTCAACTTGACTGGGCCATGGTGTACCCACACTTTTGGTCAAACATTATTCTGGGATTGTCTGTGAGGATATTTTTGGATAAAGTCAACACCTGAATAAGTAAACTGTACAAAGAAGATTACCCGTGTGAGTGGACCTCATTCAATCCATTGATGATCTCAATAGAACAAAAAGGCTGAGTATGAGGAAACTCTTGCAGCTTTATTGCCTTTAAGCTGAGATACTAGTTTTTGCTTGCCTTTGGACTTGAACTAAAACACTGGCTCTTCCTGGGATTCCAGCTCACTTACGTTTAGATGGGAATGACACCATCAGCTCTCTTGGAGCTCAAGTTTTCTGATTGGAGATCTTAGGACTGGTCAACCTCCAGTCTTGGTACTGGTCAACCTCCATGATCATATGAGCTAATTCAATATATATGCCTGCATGCAACCACCCTCACCAACCCTCGCCCCCCACCCTATTGGTTCTGTTTCTTTGGAGAAGCAATACACAGGGTGGGCAAATGCTTAGCATATGCACCACATGCCTTCTTACACCCTTGGCAGGGATTCTTCTCCACTGAGGATCAATGGATCTTCTCATCACAGTCATTCAGAAAGTGGACAGTGGCAGAGCTGGACTCAGGGCTTAATTCTTCCAACTTCTGGCAGAGGGCTCTGTTCATTCCCCAGCAACCTCCAGCCACGTGACATGTTTCCTCTGGGTCCCTGTAGAACTCTCAGAATGAAATGGGATGAAGGTCTCTGGGGACATATGACATATCTCAGACCCTGGAATCTCAGCTTTGAATACCTGCTCTGTTATTTACAAGCTGTGTAACATTGGGCGTGTTACTTAACCTTGTGAGCCTGAGTTTTCTCATCTGTGAAATGGGGAAATAATTTATGCTTTTCCCAATGTAAAGTATTTAGTGTATTGCCTGGCATACAACTATGATAAAGAAAAAATTACCCATGGCACTGTTAAAGTGGTAAAGCAGACTTTATTCAGGACTACAAAGATAGGTTTGGGGACTACTGTGATGGGGCTTTGCAATAAGGGAGAGAGACTGTGCTCAACTCTGTATATAACAAGGAAAAGTGAAAATTTATAGCCAAACAGAATGGTAGGTGGGGGTCAATGGATGGAAACATCAGGAGTGAGGGGGATTCTAGCTAAACCTACCTAGCAGAACTCTTGTTTAAGACAGGTCAGGGTGACCAGACATCACCTAGGGAGATGGCGGAGGATGAGAAACCCAATCAAATGTCAAAGGTGGGGAGTTTTGGTTAAACTAACTTAGGAAGATTCTTGTTAAAGTTGGGTGATGCAGAGACGGACATGGAAGCCCCAAAACTGAGGTCTAGTTGGGAAGAGGATTTGAAGGAGTCTGAGTACAGCTGGGTCAAGGAGAAGCTCTCTGTCAGCAAGCATTCAGAAATGTAGCCTTTTTTAAAAAAAAAACTGCCACTCAGAACACTATCAGACTCTGTCTTAGAATATCCGCCCAATCTAGTACTATTTGTTCATCTAGAATCCCAAGAGAAACTGATCAGACAGTAAACTGTGGGGTCTGTGAGGATACTCACCAGATCAATTATGCCAATGTTATTCCAGCCTTGCATTATAGGGAGGAAAGAGATAAAGGTGGGGATGACCCAGCAGCCTCCCAGCATTAATGCGATGCGCAGAGGGGTCATCTTGTTCCTGTAGACCAGAGGCTGGCAGCAGATGGCATAATACCTGGGGAGAGAACAGAAAGCAGGGTGCGGAGGAGTGGGGGGAGACAGAAAATGGGGAGGGAGATGGGGCAGGAGAGAGAGAAAAGGAAATATTGAAGAGAGGAGGAAGAGGGGAAACAGAGAATAAAGATATGGAAGGAAGACAGGAAAGAAGAAAGGAGAAAGGGGACAGAGCAAGTAGGAGAGGAAAGGAGAGAGAAGAGAGAAAAGAACAGAGGAAATAAAAATACAATTATGCAAGAAATGTGGCACATTGGCCTATGCATTTCTGTGATTATAAATGTATACTTTAGATCACATCTGAAAGTCATGGCCTAGAGTCAGCCCAAAGCCCTCTCGGTCTCCCAGTGGGTCTGAGGGACTTCATGCACCCAAGGGTCTTCTTTGTCCCAAGCAGAGTTCCTATGCTGCTCTGACACTTGCACATTTAGTCACTTCTGTCCAGCCCCTCTGGGCCTCAGTATGCAGGCCCCCGCAGCCTATGTGATTGCAGCTGGAATAGACCCAGGCATGGCCTTCCAACTGAGCTCTGACCACTGCATCTCAGATTGGTCTCCTTCCTCCGGATCACCTGCCTATTCTGAGATGAGCTCTAAGTCAGTGTTTTGTAAATTGTGGACCAGGGATTCCACCCCTGTCCCCTGCATCAGACTCACCTGAGGAAGCCTTTTTAAGGAGCAGATCCTAAGGACCTTCTGAACCACAGTGCATTTTGACAAGTGGGAGTCATTACTGCTGTTTGTTGAGCCCCCCCAGTTCCCCTTGCTGAGCACATACACATCCCAGACTGCTGTGGCTGGGTGGGAAGACCATGTATCTGGTCCCGACCAGTGAGTCACGAACAGAAATGACAAGCATCACTTTTGGGTGAGTCCACTTTACTGTGTCTCTGATGCCAAGAATGTGGAGTTGTGAATATTTTCTGCTCCATCATTTCCCACCTGCTGACTGAGACTACCCCATGCCCATTTATCAGGGTCTGATCTCCAGCATGGGACTCCCTGCTCACCCATTTTTGAGACCATGTTCTGCTTATGCTCCTAACTTTCTTTCTGCCTCCAGACAACAATTTGCAAACTGCCCCCAATCAAGGGTCTGGCGTCTGACTCCCAGACTCCTGCTGCATGTAATTCCAACCTTGGAGATCACCCCATCCACGCCCTGGCATGACATGGAACTGGACAACAGTAGGTCTATCAGTGATTTCTCTTTGCAAGAGTCAAAAAATAACACACAAAGAGCCTGGAGGCTACACCTATTCTTTAAGATTTTATACCTTTAGTGATGAGCCACCCCCGACACCCCTCGTTTATGCAGTTCACTTTGTTAATTTTCCCCACCTCTTCTTTTCTTAATTCAAAGCATAACTAATATAACAATGGCTATGTTCTTTGAAGAGGTGGTGGTAGGGTGGGTTGAGAGGGATGGTGGGATGAGGCGAGCCTGGTGTTGGAGCATGAGGGGTAAGAACCTCAAGAGCTGGGAAAGAGAATGTTCTCTTTCCTCCAAGGCACTAAGGAGCAGCTGGCTACACTGTGCCAGGAAGTTAGCTCAGTCGGCAAGTGCATGGGGTGTCCTGATCTGGACCAGAGTGCAAGGATGGACCAAAGGATGGAGGGGAGAGGAGGGTTGCTCAGGACCCATTATCTCTGTTGTAAAACTGACATGGGCACCGGATCTAACAAGGTAACTCAATTGTGGAAAGAATCATGCTTAGCTGGATGCCCTCCATACTCTTCACAAATCACATCTGAGTAGCACATCTTTCTGAATGGCAATATTGATCATCATCAGTGGTTTACTGTTAACAAAGATGATGAATTTGAAGTGGATATACTTTTATTTTTTTTCAAATTTTATTTCCTTTCTCATTTCCTGCTGTGGGCAAGTTTTTTCTATTTACCATCCTTCCTCCTTTGTCTAGGTAACAGCACTCCAAGTTCTTTGCTGTTGCTGCAATCTTGTTGGGAAAGTAAATGGTGGGGCTCTCTCTTTTCTCTTCTAGAAAAGCCGCAACCAATCAGACTTTCTCCTGGGGATTCAATGTTATGCAAAGATGGGGAGGTCAGCAAGGGCCCTTTACCCGCCCCCCCCACAGCAGGCTCATGGCCAGGCTGAGGACTAGCTCCTGCTCCTTTGATCTTTGGGCAGCCATGCATTTACCCCTCGAGTCTTCATTCCTTTGTACTCCCTCCAATTAAATAAGCCACCTCACATCTTTCTAATAAATTTCCTTTTTTTGCTTAAGCTGGTGTTATGGGTTCAACTGTGCTCTCTCTCCCCACCAAAGATATGTTGAAGCTCCAATCTTCAGTACTTTGGGACGTGACCTTATTTAGAAATAGGGTTTTTACAGAGATAACCAAACTAAAATGAGGTTGCTATGGTAAGCCCTAATCCAATATGACTGATGTCCTCATAAAAGAAAAAAATGTGTCCACAGAGAACGATATGCACCGAAGGAAGATGGCCTGTAAAGACAGGGATTGGAGTGATGCATCTGTAAGTCAAGGGACACCAGAAATTGCCAGAAACCACTAGAAGCCAGGAAGAGGTAAGAAAATAATCCCTCTCCTACAAGGTTTAGGATAATCATGGCCCTACTGACACCTTGATTTCAGACTTTTAGCCCCTTGAACTGTGAAACAACAATTCTATGTTGTTCAAAGACATCCAATATGTGGTACTTGTTATAACAGCTTTAGCAACCTAATACTGTTGGCTAAAGGCAGTCTCTGCTGCTTGCAACCAAAGTATACTGTTTCACACTTAGTAACAAAACTGGCTTTGAATGCCAGATATATGCATCATAGATATTTTTTTCTAAATAGGAATATTTTTGTTTCCCTCAATATATTTTCAGTTCATAGCCCAAGTTATAGCAATCCTTCATCTGTCATCCCAAAGAAGGCAGCAGAAGAGTAAATAAAGAATAGGTGCTGCTCCATCTCTGTTATGTAATCACTATAATTTTTGAGGTTTAGAATCAAGTACCAAGATGTTGAGTAAAGAGAAAATTTCAGGAATTTTGGTTGGATTGCCAATGTCGGAAAAATCAAAAGTTTGAGACAAGGCCAAATTAAATAACCTGCAGGGAACTATTCACAATAGCCAATATGTGGAATCACCCTAAGTGTCCATCAATGGACAAGTAGATAAAGAGAATGTGGATATAGACACAATAGAGTATTATTCAGCAAGAAAAAAAGAATGAAATCTTGTCATTTGAAGAAAGATAAGTGGAACTTGAGGTTATTATTTTAGGTGAAATAAGCCAGGCACTGAAAGACAAATATCAGATGTTCTCACTCATATTTGTGAGCTAAAAACAGTGATATCATGGAGGCAGAGAGTAGGATGACCATCACCAGAGGCTCAGAAGCATGGGGAGAGGGAGGGAGGAAGAAAGAGGGGTTGGTTTATGGTATAAAAATACAGTTAAATAGAAGGAATGAGATCTAGTATTTGGAAGCATAATAAGGCAACTGAAGTTAAACATAATTTAGTGTATAGTTCAGAACAATTAGATGATCAAATTTGGAATGTTCCTAACACAAATAAATCATACATGTTTGAGGTGATGGATAGTCCAGATACCCTGATTTGATTATTACACATTGTATGCCTGCATCAAAACATCACTGTGCCCCCAATATATGTATGATTATTATGTACCCATAATGATTAAAATCTTAAAATAAATAAATATCCTGTAGGACAAAAAGCAAATTTGAGAAAACAGGCTGCCTTACTTAAGAAAACTATTTGATTTCCATAAGTAGATGTGGATGTTTAGAGGGTTATGTTGGGAAGATAAAAGAATTTGCAGAAGATGACTTCAGAATATATAGTTATGTTGGTGCTCATAACATTTTTATAGAAGCCTTCTTTTCTAAGTCTAGCTTGGCTAGAGTTATTGCCAGTTTCCCATGACAGATTGAAGATCTCATGGACAATAAGATCTCCTCATATTCTGCCATTTAAATGTTCTGTGCTCTAATTTGCATTTCTCTAGATTACTAGGAGCTGCTGCCACAGAGATAAACAGTGGTAACAGGCTTCTTTTTGAAATTCAGCTTCCAGGGAGACACTGTGTGTATAGTACACGTTTTACCAAGTCCTTACACATTTTACACACACAGTCAGCTCCCTGGACCACGAATGCCCAAAATAATGTTGCTTGGACAGCCAGCCTCTCCCGTAAAGGGCTGAGGTGGGATACCCAGTAGTCTCTTGCACAGATAGCTATAGAAAGTTACTCTTGCATGATTTGAGATGTTTGGGAGAGGCTGGGAAAAGTCTTTTATCCTATTTTTTAAAAAAAATTAGAAATAAGTAAAGAGAGAGAAAAGAATTTTATTTTATTTTAATTTATAATAGATTGGTTAAACTCTGAGTGACTGGTAAGGTCATAAAAGAAGAAAAAATATCAAATTGTGTCTAGACATAAGTTTTATTCAGATTTTGTCCTCTACATCCTTAATCTGGTGTTCTGTCTTGCAGTAAACATAATTTGATTTCTTAGTGACATGGAGCAGAGAATATAAGGTTCTTATATGGAGTTCAAATTTCAGCATCCACTTAAGTTTATGTGCTCAAGATTCAAACCAAGGCCTGGAACCCTTGAGGCAGCAACTGTACAAAAGTCACCTCACATCCTTCCAATGTCTTTCCAATCTTTGCTTTCAAGCAAAGAATTGAGAAAAGTCAACGTCCTCTAAACGCTGCACTCCCGAAACTAAATTAAGTAGGTGAAAGCAAACATCACTGAATAAATTGGTTAATAAAAAATGAGTTACAGTGTTAGCTGACTGAGGGAGCTTCCTTAAAATTCTAATATTTGTCTATAGATCAAGGGCTAGATAGAAATCTGGTAACTTGATATTCATCATGGTTGCTTTTTAATTCCTCTGTTTGCCCTGCTAATTCCTCTGTATTACTCCTGTTAATAACAACCAATCAACCAACCAACCAACAAACAAAAAACTACCCTACTATGAA